CCGCCGCCGCCGCCGCCCCCACCAAGACGACGACTACTACTACTATTCCTAGTACGATTACTATTACTATTTCTGCTAGCTACTACACCACCACCACCACCACCACCACCACCAACACGACGACGACGACGATGACGACAACGACCACCACCACCACCACCACCACCACCACCACCACCAACAACAACAACAACAACCACAACAACCAACCACAACAACCAACAACAACAACAACAACAACAACAACATCAACAACAACATCATAATAGTGCTGCTGCGGCGGCGACTACTACTGCTAATACTGCCACTGCTACTAGCACTGTTACCAGTTCTTGTACTTTTGCTTGTGCGTTCTCTGACGACAACAAGGTCGCATGTCGGCATCGGCACTAGTCCCTAGCTTGGTTACATGTGCCGTGCCTTCCTTGCATCATTTCAGTCAAAGTCACATGCAAGACCCTAAGTCAGGATATCCTTTGAGTACTGTCAGCTGATGTGTTGCTCGTATTTCCTCGCTCGCACCACTGAGCCAGGAGGGGCAACATGATCTGCTAATTGGCTGTGCAACTGCCGTCAACAAGACGGTGGGTGCTGCATTGCCTGCAAGACTTTTGCATGGGAAGATTTGTTGTTGTATTTGCGGATTTGCAGGCGCCTGGGCTCTCTCGCCAACAAGCGGCCACTGGTAGACTCCTAATCCTGAGCCCTCAACCAGGTCAGAGCTCCGAGAATCGACAACCCGACTGTGGCAACTGCAGTAGCATCTCGTGGCTTCTTACCTGCTAATGATAGGGCTTTGGACTCCGTTGGACTTTGCGAAATTTTCTGCTCGCGACGCCCTTTTGGACCTCACTACGCTCTTCACCCACACAAGAGATTGCAAAACTATTCGTGTCCAGGTTGCTGCGTCCTCTCGTGCTTCAGCACAGCATACTCGCGCGCTGACACCATGATGGCGTCACGGATCTCGTGCCTTGCATACTTCAAAGATCGTGCGTTCTGAATGTGCTGTAGGCGCTCTTTGTTCATCTTGTTTGACACTTTCCCACTGGTGCCCATGGATGGCCTGGTGGACGGCCAAATGATCTTCGTGAAGGGGCCTTGCTCTGTGGTGCGTCCGGTGTTGCTAATGTACACCACCTGCTGCCTGTCGTTCACGTACTTGACCTTAGCACAGCAGGCAACGCCATGAAAACCGGCCTAGTCAGAATCAAGAACCATCAAGAAGCTCCGAAGACTACCATGTCCGAGCAACTGGACTTCAAGACTTAAGGGCCAACAACCATTTGACGGGCACATCTTGGCGTGCCAGGTTACTGGCGAAGTGTGCGCTTTGGATGTGGTTTGATACTTCTCTTCTCCAAAGAGACCGAGGTACGCTGGTGCCGAGAATAATGAAAAAGATCATCCATCCCAGGCAACAGCCGCCGCCTTGCTTAAACGTGCCGAGAAGGTTTGAGGTGAAAGCTTGGAGGCTGACGGGCAGTGTAGTGAGGGATGCTGTGCAAGCTCAGCACAGCATTGCAACGTAGGGCAGCTCAGGCATGGGCCACATACTTTGATGGCACACTTCTTCTCATCACTAAGTGAATCCATGGTCCTGCATTTTGTCGCTCGATCAAGGGAACCCCATGAAGTGCCAGGGACACACTTAAGCGTCCTTCAGGCTGCCGCTCGGCTTGCAGTCTATTAAACAGCAATGGCTGCAGCAAACAACCAGGATGGCTTCTCTGAATAAGCTGGAAGCTTGCAGAACTTCACGCAAAGTGGCACTCGGGCAGCGTTCAAGCCCACGGTAATCTGGCACCGCATCTTTCCACAATCAAGAAGGCATATCAGTCGCGTCACAGCTACGGCACACAGAGCTGGTCGCCCAGTTGCATGGCTGATGGCATCAGTTTCGTACATTGCTACAAATTCAAACCCATACAATTGTACCCTTTTGAGCGCAAGTCGCTTGACAAGTCACTGCGCAGTGTCGAACTGTGGCCGGCCCAAGCGGCCTCATATCTGCCATCCTAGCCCGAACAAGGCCAGGGGAAGGGGTGCCTGTCTCGGCGGTACTTCCTTCTTTTCAGTTTGCAATCCTTGGCGCCCTTCCCCTCACAGAGCTGACAGCGGCCTGCGCCATCGGGCCAGCTTTGGCTCATTGCTTGCAGTGCACAGTGCTGCGATCTGGCAAGACGTCCAGGTGGCAAGACCCGCGCGCACGGTGCTCCATCCAATCCTGCATGGGCATGGACAGTCTCTGCCGCTAGTCCGGTCGACACAAGAAATCTTGCCAGGAAGAGGGTGCATCTTGTTCATTCTTGTTCGGCATTGAGGGCACAGGCCCTCAACAAACATAGGTCCCAGCTGGGAACCCTGAAGAAGATCAACGTGTTGGTGCATGGTGCTGCAGCCTCCCTCCACACATTGCTGCCGCCCTGACTACACTAGCAGCATCCGGCAGCTGTGCTGCCGCACTTGTGTGTGAGTCTCCTGCACTCATATCAGAAAGTCTGCACAGGAACCACATGCTCTCGAATGCTACACTTCAGGGTAACCATGCTTTGCAAAAAGCCAGGCGGGTGGCGCAATTTGGGCCGTGACGCATTTGTCAAGCAATCTTTGTGCAAATTTGACCGACACCAATGCTTTGTGAACATTTACATTCGGACGACTTCCGAATAGGCCGGGAAGTGGCGAGTTTGTTGGGGTTGTCTCGTTTTGGCGTGGTATGAGGGCTGTTGAAAATTTCGTTTCCCAAAAGCTCATCAACTGCATCGCATTTTGCGGAGCGTTCACTGTCTTGCGCACGCGCGCAATAAAACTCTTGTTTTGCATAGTGTTGTTCTCGTTCAAGATTCAGAAATAACCCAAGCAACATCATAAATCAAGACCTTTCACTGACATTTCAGGCTTTTGGCGCGATTTCTAGATGGGAGGTCAGTAGCATTCTACATAATACATAGACAGGGCGTGAAGGTTATAATGGTTTGGGCATGGGTGCTCTGGTCGCATCCAGTCAGCTACTGGAGCATGAGACCCCAGGATCCGGATATTAGACCCAAATGTCTGGGTCTAATGTCCAGAGACCCAGGGTTCTTAGGATCTGTAAGAAGTAGTAAATTAAGCCCGTGTGCTCTTGAAACACAAACGTTATGATGGTTTGGGCGTGGACCCTGTGCTGTTGGAACATGAATGTGATTGTAATTTGGGCATGGGTGCTCTTTCCGAACGGGAATGCGATTGCGGCTTGGGCATGGATGCTCTGGTCAATGCGTGCTCTTGGAACACCAACACTGCTATTATGGTTCGGGCATGGAAGTTCATGAGTCAAAACTGACGAGCGTCTCACGGCCGAATTCGCGATTGGCAAAAGCTGGGTTCCCACTTGTCATTGTCAAGACCGTCTTTGGCCAAACCACCCAGCAAATCACCATGATCATCCATCCCTCGACAATTCCTCCGGAAGGGGCTTGCAGACACATTCGTCTAGAAAAGAGGAAATCTGTTTTCGTGTTTGTTCTGGCAAGTTCTACAGAGCCTCTGCTCCGTGCGGCTTCTCCCCATGCTTTACACGCGTACACACATCACAGGATTTTGTGCTGTGCTTTCCAGAAACAACCTGCGCGGTAGCAAATGTAGCACCGCTAATTCAAAAACACTGTGCTTGTAGAGGCAAAGCAAAGCGTAAACTTAAAACCCTTCACCCTGGCATGCCTCGAGCTGAGACTCTGGGCAAGCGCATTGAGCTCGGTAGTACTGGTACTTGCACCTGCCAGGCCAAAATCTTTGAACTTTCAGGGCGTGGTAAAATGCCCAGAGGGCCTTGTGTCCTCCTCCCCGAGCTCACGAGCACAACGGGCGAAAACCGTGAATCGCAGAATGCAATTGTTGGACTGGTTGGTCAAGGACAGGAACCGTGGATCGTCCATGTGAGGATGGGCAGCATTGACGGCATCCAGGTTCGCTGCATGGAAGACTCTCTCCTTGGCATTCGACATTGCCACAGTTCGCGGAGGGCGGCTTGTAGTTTGCGACGCGACCAAGCGTTGAGCCCCAGTCTAATGCGGCAAACACAGGGCCAAGCAATCTCTGCAATTGCTACGTCTACATATCAGCACCCTATGACCAGCACACGCTCCTGACTATGAGTTGCCTAAGCTCTACTTGTAGCTTGCTGCTGTTGTTCAAGCTTGGGTCTGGATTTATTGTTGTAAATTTACCTGCGTCCACTTAGAGACTTTGACACGAAGTCCTAGTACATCTGTCGTGTTGCCCTCCTATGCCTGTGGCAAGCAAGTAATCATCACGTGCTGCTTTCCAGCGCGGGGCTTGCGAAAGCATTTCTTGAGGCAGCACAGTGGCTGTGCAACCCTCTAAGGTCGTGAGACTTAATGCAAAGCAGATAGCTCCACCGCGCTGATGCATCAGGCCATTCGAGCTAGGCTTGTGAGAGCAAAACCCGCAGGTGCAGGAAAAGCACACTGCGCCGCAGGCCACATTGAGCATGTCTCAGGAATGAGGTCCCGTGCATACTGGTGTAAATGGCCTAGTCCCCGGTAGAACAACTCCAAAAACATCCGTTGCCTAGAGACCTTCAAGAAATGATTTCCGTGTCAAGCTCTCGGCGCAGCTCACCGCCGAAGCGTTGTCTTCCATCGCCTTCTGCTTTTGCAAGCCCGGGCTTCACGCAGGTTCTCTTGGCTGGTAGGTGGGGATCAGGAGCAGGTTACTGTACCTTTGCACATGGTTTGCCTCGGACCAAAGCACTGCAATACGTAGCTCGACCATGCTCGACCTTTTGAAAGCAGGTTGGAGCCAAGCTCTTGACACTTGACACAACTGAAGATGGAGATCAAAAGACAGTAATTTGCAGTATATTACAGTAAACTAGAACTATTATAGCATAGTATATTACATACGGTGTATCATAATGTCTTATAATATAGTATAATGTATAAGCTGAGCATTGGAAGCGCCAAAGTCCGTGATCCTGTGAACAGCTGCTGGGCTGCGCACCATCCTGCTGCCACTCCAAAAAACTTGGCAGGAGCAGGCAAACCTTCCTTGTGGGCTGTTGCAGGATTCTTCCGTCTCTGAGGTTGAAGAATGTATGATATGTTGTAGTATACTACAGTACACTATAATATCTTCTATTATATTAATGTATGTTATAATATTGTAAAATCTCCTCTGGCATTTGTAACGTGCGTACCCACTAGTCCCGGATCTTGAGCCAAATGCAGGACGCAGGAATCCGGATGAATGTTTGAGCTGGCAGCTGTCTGGCACAATGTCTCAGCACTGCCATTTGTTGCATACAGATCCAAGTCGCCAGTTAAAAAAAAAAAAAAAAAAA